AGCAGGCGCACCGAGGGCTCTCGCGCTCACTTTTCGCGTATAGAATTAGAATGATAAGTCAGTATCATGATGTCTCGTGTTTGATGTTTGTTGGTTTTTTTATTGTTTTATTTTGCGAGTTGGTTATTAGATGCTATCCAACCAGCCAAAGAATCCGCCCCGCCCTCTCCTCCCTGTGCCACAAGAAGCAGGCGCACCTCGCAAACGGAGGGCGCCCTTACTCCCAGCAAATGGGCGATAGAAAACCGATGGTGCCTATGCCATTCCCAATATGCGCTGGCTGATGTCTGGGCAGCATGAGTACGAGCAATTTATTTATTTATATTTGCCAAAAACCGCTACTGCTTGCAACCCGCAAAGAAGGTGAAAACTACTGCCTGAAAATAATTACTGTAAATCTCCAACCTTCAATTTTCCAAGATAAAATAATGTAAGAAAGAATTGAGATGAATATACTTTTACATGACGGTAATTAAAATACACATATATTAAACGACCATTATCCGAGGTTTACTTGAAACCAGCTGAAGGTTAAAAAACTAAAACTATTTTTTTTTTAATTTTAGCTACCTTAATGTCTTGCAAACTGCCAAGAAAGTAAAGACTCCCTGAAAAACATTGCTGTAAATCTCCTATCTTCAATTTTCCAAGATTAAAATCAAGAAGTAAAAACAGATTTCGGATAAATAAACTTTTACTTGACAGTAATTAAATTACATTTAAACTAATTGAACTAATTAAACTAATTAAACGACTGTTGTTCTACGTTTACTTTAAAATCGCCTAAAGGTTTCATGTTAATCGCAAGTATTAAGAGATTGACATAGAGGTGGAGATTTGTGTTTTTATGCTTTTATGTGGTAACTTGACGTCATCTCATGTTGCTGCTGCCTCAGTTTTTGTTATACCATAGCCAATTTTTGTACAACACTGTCTTTATATGACACAATTATCATAAAAAACAACAACAACAACAACAACAACAACAAAAAACACAAACACAAGCTAAAAAAAATAATGGTATAAATCTTTTTTCTGGTTCACGTTTTTCAGTTTCTACTTGATAGAGTTAGAAAACGAAATCTTGCACTCTCTATGAATGAAAGAACAGATATTAAATCTTAAAAAGATGACAAAAAGATGACATAAATCTGCTATGTTTTTACTTTTGAGACGATTATCCAGCTGATTAGAAAATGAAATAGGTGTGTCCTTGGGCTTTGCTATAAATGAAGCGCCTGAGGTTTGCTCCATCAGAACACCAGGAGACCTAAGAATTTGCTTCACACTAAGGAAATTTCTACATTTTTCAAAAATGATCAGCAGGATTTTCATCGCTTGCCTGTTTCTCGGGATGTACAGTACGGGCTCTTTGCTAGGTTGCAAATGGATTGTAAATGATCGAGACGAAATAAAAGATCAATTCCATGTGTACAACAAGAGAGCTTTGGGTTTCCTTGATATGATGGTGAGTGCACTTCTTTGCATAATGTTTAACATGGTATTGATTTAAATAGTTTGATTAGTTCCATGGATATGATGTGTGTGCGTGTTTTGTGTGTGATGCAGATTACTAACACCACTAAGGATGCTGAAATTGAGCACACAGTGGCTTTCCCTAATGAACTGTATCACCAGAAGTCCAATGCAACAGTAAGTCATCCCCAGCTTTTTACATAAAGTTGTTTCTTTTTTAATGAAAGAATGGAAAGTGTCGTGATTGCAAATCCACAAAAGTTTGTCTTTACCTATATATAGACTGCTCAGCTATGAAAGGGTCGAAGGGATTCTCTCCCACAGAGCCAAGGGAGTTGTCTCTTATCACGACTCTGTCATAACTCCTGTGCATAAAAATGTATAATTCAAAGACAAAACACAACAATGTTATTTTCAAACATTTGTTCCTGTGCAAACAAAGATTTTCGGTCCCTGGGAAATTTCTCATAGCTGTGTGGATTCTTGTTCTTTGACTATTCAGCCATCTTGAAGTTTTAAAGAAGTATTCCTAGTGATCTCTTCTTCATCATCTTCTTCTTCTTCTTCTTCTAGGATGAGGATAAACTGGCTTTGATAGTTCAGATTCTGAAGGAGCTGTTTGCCCTGTTTGAGGAGCATCGCAGCTCTGCACCATGGGAGGAGAACACAGTGGAGAACTTTCTCAGTATTGTCGACAAAATGGCTGAAGAGCTTAACTCCTGTGTAAGCTCACTTTCATTACAATGAACAATGATATTGCATTTTTTTTTAAATTTTACAATGAATTCAGTCTCTATTATATATATTTTATCAGTCTCTGACAAATGTGAATAAGTTAAAGTGGTGAATGATGTATTCAAATATATTTTGTTCTTTCCTTGTGGGTTATTTAGGTTGGAAGCCACAGCAACACGACACAGCTGTCGCATTTCACGAGTCTCTCAAATGAAACCCTAAAGGCCAATGTAAGTTTGCATTATTTTTACTAAACCTGTATTTCAATATGACAGATTTTACACCGCTGGTATTTTAATAATGATAATATTGTTTTGTCTGTAGGGTTACAGTGCTGAAGCCTGGGAGACGATCAGGAACATAACAAAAGAACATCTGAGGCGATGCGGATCTCTGGTTGAGTCTCTGGGAAATGCCCACTAAAACTCGTCTTTCGGATAAATTTTTAAAATGTATTTGTATTTCTTAATTGGTTTAATTTATTTATTGTATTCATAATATTGACACTAGTATTTATTTTTGTATTATTTATTCATTTATTTATTAGATTTCTGAAAATTTTCCATAATGTAAACTAGACATATTATTTGATATGTTAAAGTCAATAAATATTTTCTTATCACACAAATAGAAATATGTTGATTTTTCTGTTCCTGAAATATCAAGAATAAGGGTTTTGCACTTATTTTTAATGAGTGCAATCAAACATTAGACACATTGTCCAGATTTATATAGAAAGATTGTTTTGATTCTTCACAAAAGCTCTTACAACATAGAAAGTAGAAGTACTGATACCTCATGTGGAGTGAGTATGAGCACCAAGACCACTTTAGAGACTTTCTTTGGTTTGGTTTCTTTTGGTTTATAAAGTATGACGAGTCAACTGAGAGCTTTGCCTTTACACTCAGCTCTCTCTTCACCCTGATGGACCAGTACAGCAGCCGCAGCACTGATCTGTCTGTCAATGTCCTTCCCCCTTCTCCCATCACTCGTGAACAGGACCCCAAGATACTTAAACTCCTCCACTCGGGGCAGGAACTCATCCCTGATCACGAGTGGACAGTCCACCCTTTTCTGGCTGAGCACCATGGCCTTAGATTTGGAGGTGCTATTCTCATTCACTTCATTACATTTGGCTGTGCAGCATTCCAGTGCGAGCTGGAGGTCATCAGCCGATGAAGGCAATAGAACAACATCATATACGAAATGCAGAGCTGAGATTCAGAGAACATCTGAGCCTTCTGCCACTTGGCTACACCTAGAAATTCTCTAAATACAAATTATGAACAGAACCGGTGACAAGGGCGGCCCTGGTGGAATCCATCACCCACCGGAAACCAGTCTGACTTATTGCTCATTGCTGGCTATGCGGACCAAGCTCCTGAAATGGTTGTATGAGAATTGAGTGGTCCATAGCAATGGGCCAAACAGCCCATACTCCTGAAGTACCTTCCACAAGACACTCTGAGGGACATGGTCGAGTGCCTTCTCCGGGTCCACAAAGCCCATGTAGACTGGTTGGACAAACTCCCATGCACCCTCAAGTATCCTCAAGAGGATAAAGAGCTGGTCCAGTGTTCCACGATCAGGATGTAAACTGCATTGTCCAAGGTTCGACTAACTGCCACCTCAGAGGTACCACCCCTGATCTGGTAAATGGACTGATTCTTATATAGCACTTTTCTACTCTCCCGGAGTACTCAAAGCGCTCTATACAACATGCCTCATTCACACCCACTCATACAAGCACTTCAAGTGCAACCTAAACTACATTCACACACATTCATACTCCGATGAATGCAACTCAGGGTTAGTATCTTGCCCAAGGCATGCAGACTGGGGAAGCCAAGGATCGAACCACCAACCTTCCGATCAGTAACTGATCTGCTCTACCACCTGAGCCTCAGCCACCCCACACAAAGTAAAAGTTAGACTGATGCAGTACATGAGCACAATGCCTATACAAATATACCTATATCATGCATAAAAGAACTGAAAAATGGTACATACTTCTTCAATTCTAAGTTTTTCCATATTCGAGCATTAAAAATAAATAAAAGAATAAATAAATACGACAGACTGGCGACCTGTCCAGGGTGTACCCCGCCTCTCGCCCTATGACAGCTGGGATAGGCTCCAGCGCCCCCCGCAACCCTGAAAAAGGATAAGCGGAAGCGAATGGATGGATGGATAAATAATTTGGTCATTTTCAGGTTGTAAAATAATTTAAGTGGAAGCTTAGACGACAGTATTTATAATTATTTAACAAAAAGTAAACTTCACAGCACCACATCTGAAATTAAGTATTTTAGCACAGATACAAGAGGACTTGTTTTGCAGCCATAAGACGTGAACAACTTGTAGTCCCTGAGGAGACCATGAACTCCTCTCTCTGTCAAAATATTCCAAATGTGAGGCCATCAGTTAAAATTTGGCCCAAACTGGATCAATGTAAAACAGAAAGGCTGAAAAACATTATCCACGTTTTTGTTTATTTCATCATGAAATAACTGTCTTAATTGTGTCAATTTATTGATTAAGTGACAGAAGAGTTACATCTTAGATTATGGGCTTTCCTTTTAACCCATTAAAGAACACTTTCAAACCACTTTCGTGAACTTCCAAGCACTGTGGAGTTTTGTTTTTAATTTTTTAGTTTAATTGCAATCGAAATCTGGTTAAAGGAACTTACAAGTTCACCATTTTGATATTAAAAAGTAATATAAACAATAAATTCACTTTGTAAGAAGATAGATTCTTTTATTTAGTAAAATATATTTTACAAAATGTTCATTTTGCTCATTATAAAGATAAAAAAATATTCCTAAATCTTCATCAGCATAGAAAAACAATCAAAACAAAAATATACAAATAACAAAGTAAATAAATAAACAAATTAAATAAATAGACAAGCAATTAAATTAACACAGCCGTCATTACAGACATGACAAGAGACAGGTTTTAGTGGGCCGTGTGCAGAGATGAAGCCAGCTGTTCTGCTCTCATTAGATGGGCTTTGGTTTCTTTCCTGATCACCTCCCAGGCTTCAGCACTGTGACCCTACAGAAATACCAATATTAGTATTCTTATTGTTATTGAAACAAGTTATTATATCTATTTATCTTAAGGATGATCTAAACCCCAAATTAATGAGAATGATGTGATCTTACCATTTCCTTTAGGATATGATGTGAGAGTCTCTTAAAGTACATGTGCAGCTTTGTGGTTTTCTTCTTGTGACTGTGGCTCCCAATCTAATTTAATTACAAGCAAAATGACAATTAAGAATATGTCATGTCATGTAAAGTATCATATTCGAATGTAATAAAAACCTAACTGAAAGTGAACTTACACAGGAGCGAAGCTCTTCAGCCTGTTTGTTGACAATATTGAGCAAGTTCCTCACTGTGCTGTCCTCCCATGATGCAGAGCTGTGATCCTCCTCAAACAGGGCAGCCACCTCCTCCAGAATCTGAACAGTGAAAGCCAGTTTATCCTCAACCTGGAAGAAGAAGAAGATCAAACACAGACCACTTTAGAAATGCTTTAACAATAGTAAGAGTGGGTTTAAAAGACAAAATGAATCTACCCTAAACGAGAATTATGGGGTTTTCTTTCAGTGAGTCAAAGCTGAGGTTCACTTACTGATGATTTGGACACCTGGTGGTACAGGTGATTAGGGAAGGGCACAGTGACCTCCACTTCAGTGGTGTTAGTGGAGTTTTTAGCCTGAAACACATTGAGTGTTTTAGTCATCAGATGCTAAATTGAAATAATTCTTTCACGAAAAATGACAAATTAACTAATATTAAAGCATTAAAACACTCACCATGGTATCAATTAGATTCAGAGTTTCTTCGTTGTGCTGTCTGAATTTATGATCCATCCATCTGCAGCTTAGCGAGGAGCTTTCAGTGGACAGAGCGAGAAACAGGCAAGCAAATAGAATCCTGTTCATCATTTTTTAAAGGTATAAACTTCCTTTGTATGAAGCGAACTCTCGGATGTCTGATGGAGCAGACCTGCAGCGCTGCATTTATAGCAGAGCGAACATATTTCATTTTCCATACCTGGGAAACCCGCAGGTGAGCGGGTTGAGGCCTCAACGTACAACAGGCTGTAATGTCGGAAATCTCAGATTAGAATTTGCATCCAAATCAAAGAAAATATTCCACAGTGGAGAATAGGCAGCATTTTTAAAAAGCTAAGGTATCACCCTCGTTAATTTAGTAATTTACGTCACTACGAGTTACCTGCCAAACATAAATACATGAACTTAAATACGTGAAACACAAAACAAGAAACACATCTCACAGCTGATTTTTTCCCCCCATTAGGCTACCTCTACATGTTTCTGAAATAGTTAAGTTGTGATATGAAAAAATTTACGTCTTCCTTGAATATTTATCTCGATTTTAGCGCCAGTTTACACCCCGAAAATAAAAATAATTAAATACAATGAGATTTCATTAACGGCCACCTTACTTAAATCTGTGTAATTTATAATAAAAGCTGGTACTGCACATTTCATCAATTTGCATTACTTGTTTGTGTTTTTTTTCTTTCTTCCTTTTTTCGGCATCTTTTTTCACACAGCACACAGTGTTTTCGGTTTGAACAACGAACAATGTATTTTTTTCACAGTTGGAATTACTCAGTTGCTTCTTTTACCTAACGCTCCAGGTCTATTGCACAGTGTCCATGTGTGCTATAAAAGGGAAGTTCTTACTTTCAGAAACTGAAAGTGGCTTGATGACTGTGCGGAATGTGTCGTAACGCGAACCGATGAGTGACATTTCGCCTTGTTTTATCTTGAACCTGTGGCTTCCCTGTGTGAACCAGGTAACCTACGGAAAACTGCTTCACGTCTTAATCGGAAGATTAGCCCATGTTTTCATCTCAATTGAGAAATAATGAATAAAGAAACTACTATTGTATAGGCAGACACGAGATCAGTAACCCTGACTGAAACCAAAATTTCGATTTTCAAAATTTTCTGGACCGGTACAGGACAAATACGGACTAGCTTGAATTGTGACCACTATAAAAAGCATAAAAACTCTCATTTTGAAGACCCTGTGTAATTTATCGCCTGTAGATTTGATTAAGCAATTCACTGTATATTGGAATGAACAACACTAATACCCCAGTGCAGGTGGTTCTGATGTCATGCAAATGTGAGCATATATTCACTGGTACATATATTAACGAATTAATAAAATATTAGCATTTGTGAATTTTGTAGCTCATTTTTAAACATTTAAGTAACCCTTAAGAAGAGTAACTCTTCTTCATCTGACGGACTTATTGCACCAATATGCCAGATCACACTCGTTTAGATCACTGGAGCAGATCTCGAAATTTCAGGTTAGGTCAATTTACCGTTTCCACTACATTATGATCCTATATTACTTAAAGCGTCA